GGCACCATGGGCGCGCCGCGTCGGCGCGGGGTGATGACGTCACCACCAACCCCCGCCGGTTGCCAGGTAACGGCGTGATGGCGATGGCCGCGCGGGAGTGACCAAGCCTCAGTGTGTGTGTGTGTGTGTGTCTCACCATAGTTTATTATATATACACGCGCTATACATTCATGGGGCTCACAGCAGCGGCGGGCCCTGCTCGCACCCCCTGTCCCTGAGGAGGCTCCACGGGCCGGGCCCAGGCCAGTCCCTGAGGTGACAGCAGGTGGGTGACATGGTGATGTCAACAGAACACTGCAGTGTCCCACAGGGAAGGCGGCCGAGCCCGCATTCAGCACACAGAAGGCACTTGGGTGATGCAGCACTTCGGCTCCTGGGGCTACTTCAGCCAGCTCCAGTCGAAACTCTGCAAAGAGTAGCAAAAGATGCAACAGAGCACAGGGCCTGGCTACTGGATGTGTGACTTGTCTGATGAAAAATCAGTAATTGCCCGTAGAAAGGGAGCTCACAGGACTTAACACAATGCAGCACAGCACAGGAGCCAGGCTCACTGAGCCCTGTGAGTGCATTCTAGTTTGGGAGATTGTGGGATTTTCCAAACTGGTAGCCAAAGGATGAGCACCTCCTCTCTCCTCTGAGGAAAGGCTGAGAGAATTGGGATTGTTCAGCCTGGAGAGAAGCTTCAGAGTGACCTCACTGTGAGGCCTGAAGGAGCTACAGGAAAGATGCAAAGAGACTATTTCCATGGGCCTGGAGTGCCAGGACAAGGGGGAATGGTTTCACACTGCCAGAGGGCAGGCCTAGATGGGATTTTGAACACATATCCATGCACACAGGCACAGGGTGCCCAGAGAAACTGTGGCTGTCCCTGAATCCCTGGAAGTGTCCAAGGCCAGGCTGGATGGGGCTTGGAGCATCTTTTCCCATTCAAGGAGTTCTTCACATCCCCAAGACACCCTTGGGTGTCTCCTGAAAGCCAGGTCCTGGCAGATGCACAAGCACTTACCATCATGCTGTTCTGCTCCTGCCTGACCTCCTGCAGAATGCTGCTGAAGAGCTCGAGGTAATTCACATTCTCTCGGATCATGTCGGCAAAATTTTCCCTGCAGGAAGAAAAAAGCCCTAAGGTGATGGATTTCAAGCACCAGAAGTAAAACCCCCATCAAAAGGTGCCCCCTCACCCCCCCTCTTTCTGGGGGGAGGAAAAAAAAAAACCAACAACAAAACTGAAACCAAACAACCCAAAAAAAGTGATTTGTAGTTTGTGCAGTGGTAGGTGACACAAAAACCTGCCTGGAGGTGGCAAGACAAAGCAAAATGGCTTCACACTGACAGAACACACTGGAAATAAAATTGTTAATGAAGCCTCAGCTCCAGACAACTCAGCAGGGACTGAGCGAGCTTAAGAACCAGCTCCAGGCCCAAGGAAGAACGTGACATACATTAAATGGATGGCACAGTCCTTTAGCAGTGCATGTGGAACTGGCTCAGAAATAGAGAGGAGGGGTTTCTGAATAAAGAGTTCAACCAAATCCCTGATTTTTTAGAGCATTAGTGACACAAAGTCCCAAAACTTGTCTGGGAAGGATAAATCCCCTGAGATCCTGAAGCAGCCAGGCTGAGCTCCCTGCAGTGGCTGCTCCCCCAGCAGCTCATACCCATCTTCAGGAGCTGCCAGCGAGGACAGAGGGTGAGGAGCTGAATTCCCTGAGGAGCTCTGGGGGAGCCAGGTGGCTGCTGGAGTTGAGGCTGTTCCTTCCAGGCTAGAGCTGACCAACGATCGAGAGGAGCTCTGAGTCTGGAAGAAAGAAATTCAGAAGAATTTAGGTATAAAGGTTACGTAAACAAGATCTGGGATTACACATGAGCACTGTTGGTAACACAGACATGGGAACTAGGAGATGGCTACAGGCACTGTAATTAATGCAAAAAAAGCAGAGTACTCTTTAAAACACTTTAAACTAACCAGGAAAACACCTATTTAGTTTCTGCTTTTACCATCTCAGACTGCCCTTCTCTGCAGGAAATAAAGCAAACAACCATGGTGTGTGGCAGCTACCCCTTTTTGCTGAGTTTATTTTGATGTCTCCTGGCTCGTGCAGTGGAAGGAAGTGCAAATAGCCCAGCAGCTACTCACACAAGCAATTTTCAGCAAATGCCATATTTCCCTTTGTCTTTTTCCCTGCATCTGCATCACTGAGTTGTCAGCTTCCTTGATGTTATTTAGAGCCACTTCAATCTCAGGGAGCAGGTCAATGATCTTCTGCTTGCAGCCCAAGAGCTTGCTGGGATTAAAAAAACAAACACAAAGTCACTTCCCAACACATTCTGGCAAAATCAAAAGCCCCACCTTTCAAGATTCAAGATACTTGAAAAATTAATGTACAAATCACTGTGGTATCTTCTCAGCTCTGTAACATTACTGCTTTTTTTTCCTGAAGATTTGAATTCCAACTTCCAACTGGCAGAATTTGCCTCATTTTTAAGTGAACTCTTGGATGCTAACAGTCATGGTTTAAAAAAATTCAGTGGAAACTCAACACAGAGGAGCAGAATCAATACTATGAGAAATGTGGATGGAGCTTTTTGGGCTCTGATATCTCTGATTTTCTCTATCCTTTCCTACTACAAAGCTCCAAATGCTGCAAGCTGGATCTGTTTGGGTTTTTCATCTGTATCAATTACCTGAGGTGTCCAAAGAGCTCCTTGAGGACACGGTCCTGGCTCTGTACTGTCTGCACAATGATCTTCACCATGTCTGTGCTGTCACTGTAGGCATGATCTGCAAGGGCCAGCAACCACCATGTTAGTAAATCCTAACAGCATTTTCTGAGTTTCAGCTCAGAACAATTAATCATGGGGTAAAAGTGTGAATCAGCCTTTAAATCATCTTCTCCCATACCTGGAGGTCGTGTTTTCAATTGCTTGTACAGGTCTATGGCTCTCTGTTCCCTTTAAAAAGAAGAATATGATTCAGGCAGGTGTCAGCAGCCAGGCGACTTAAGAAAAAAAGCACTGCAGTGAACTCAGACACTGAACCTTCTCCTACAGCTGGTACACAAGCATGGCCTTTGGAACACAGGGATGCTCTTTCTGTAATGGAATCCAACACTTTCCCAAAAGCTGTCTCTCATTTTCTCCTATTATGCAATTTATTCTCAGAAAACCACACCAAGTGGAGCTTATTTTCAGTTTCAAATCTTCACATGGCTCAGCTGTGTTTTCTTTCCCCCGTATCCTTAATTATCCAATTTCATTTCTGAAACTGTGACTGTACAGCTGCCTGAGATATTCTCGTTCCTGTTCTGCATTTTTTGCCTGAATTTTAGTGATAGTCTGTAAATGGAAAGAGACAGCTGCAGCACAAGCAAGACGACTGTGCTTCTCTTCTTCCCATGAAATGTTACTTCTCCCAAGTATTTCAAAAGCAGCCAAACTGAAAACTTCCAGCCTTGAACAAAATCCTCCCTGTTCTAAATCCCAGTCTGTCAGAAACAAGCAGCAGTTTCCCAGCTCTGACCCTGGTCTGCAGTGGTGAAATTACTTAAAAATAACGTTTAAAGAGGCATGATCCTGATTAGTTTGAGCTGCTGCTGCAGGAGGTGGCTTCTCCTTTGCACCACTTCCTCCCCTGTACACCAGTTCTGCTGCAACTAACCAGGATGAAAAGCAACTTAGCAAAGAGGGAGGGCGGAGAACATGCTAGAAGCAGGCACATTTCCTCCCTGAACAGTCAGAGTTGTTCTGAAGAGCTCTTATTAACAGATTTAATGGCTGTTCAATACCTCTCTCTTAGAACTGTCACTTGTGCTCTCAGCAGCAGCCCAGTAACTGTTTCCTATGTCCTCTCAAGATCAGAAATGCCATTAAGCTCTTTCATAATTTAATACTTTCAAAAAAAAAAAGGAATCAGCTTTCCAAATATTCAAGTACCTATGAGGTATTCACCCCTTGATTTGAAAATACTGAAGGTATTTAACAGGGTTTTACAACAATCACGTAGTTTTCTCACTCAACAGTAAGAAAGTCACTCCTCTCCAACACAGAAGGTAATCCTCAGCTGAGACCAAGATTTATCTTAGCCTTGGCTCTTGTAAAATGAGGTTTCATAGTTCAGTGACAGGCAAGCATCCCACAAGTTGCGAGATCTTTCACAAGCAAAATGATCTCAAATCAACTGTACACTGCTCTGTTCTTGCAGTTTGCATTTCAAAATCGCCAAGGGAACCAGCAACAGGGAGGGGAGAAAACCCCTGAGACACTGAAATACACAAAATCCAATTATATGCAGTAGAAATGAGAAGAACAGAACTTACAAACTCTCCATGACCTCTCCTTGGCGCCTTGCATACGGACTCTTCTGCAGCTCCACGATTTCGGTGTGCAGAGCCATGATCTGCTCATCCAGGTAGCCAATATCTTCAGCCTGAGGTGAAAAGTGGGCACAGATCAGACTGGAGGAGAGCAATCAAAGAGATAAAAATCCCCAGAACACTTGTTTGGATAATGGGCTTACTGCCTGGAGAGTTTAGGAGACAAAAAAGCTCTTTGATACAACACTGCTACAATAATTGAGGTTTTTGTTCTCAGTGCATGGTATCACCCACAACCAAACCTCTGACCACCAACACTGGCTGAGAAAAATCAGTTTCTTCATAAATCATCTCTCTGGATTCCCTCTGTATAGAGTGAAACATTTTCCATTCCTCACAAAGGGGCAGGGCAGGTGGAATAACAGAACATAATTCTCATGGTCTGCCAGGTAAATACTGGGTGAGGTTTCTGGTTGTCTGGAAAAAGCTGGAGACAGCCTTGAATGATTGTGCTAGAAGCAGCCACTCTTTTATCCATTTCTTAGGTAATAAAAAAAGAGATGACTCTAATTTAAAACTCATTTGCATATCTGCTTGCAGCATGCCAGTAATTTATGTCTGTACTCCTCAGTGAGGTCCTGCAATTTTGAAATCGCTGCATGGCAAGTGATTTGTTTTCAGCCACAGCAATGGGAATTTCTGTGTGCAGGAAGACTCCTGCTCCACAGCAACACCTTTTCTTTTGGGCAACAAGTAACTCGTCTCTGCATTCCACTTTCCTTTTTAGAGAGCTGAGTCTGGTGACTTTTGTTGTTTTTGTCCAAATCCATTTCAACAACTTGGTGACAGGAAACTGTGTCTTTTTTAATGCACCTGCAATGATACTCCCATTCCCACAGCAGGCAGGATATGAAACACTGAAGGGACACAGCAGTGGCACAAATGACACATTAAATTCCTGTCACAGTCTCCTTCACACAGAAATAATTCAGCTTCTTTAGCATCCCCTACCTGTGCACACTGAGAGGCTTTCTCTTCCATCTCCTTCCAGGCTTTGAGCATCTTCTCTGAAGCTTAAGAAAACAGTGTTGTTAATTTAAAAAAAAAAGACATTGAGACACAAAAATAAAGCAAGACCTGGACTTTACCTATATTGGTGTACTTTGAACACAAAGAACATGGTGCTGAACCTCCCAGCAGGAGTCATGACCCAGAGATCCCAGAGGAAAGCTGTATCTCTCTGCTCAGCCTTAACTCACACGCAAACCCTTTGGTAGGATTTCACTGCTTGAAATCACTGGCCTAAAACAACTCTGAGTCCTCAAACTCCACCATTAAGCTCAACAACTGACACTTTTGATTGAACACAGACTGTCCAAATCCAGTTCACAGTGTCTTTCCATTTTCCATCATCATCCTTCAGCCCAGTCATCATTTTTGACTCAGGTTGCATTTTTTAGCCATATATATTCAAACTATGTGTAAATCTTGCTATTCTCTCCTCAACACTGTTTCTGGGACATGAAACTGCAGCTGGTGCTTTTTCAGCCCATCTCTCATCCTGACAAATGGTTTCTCCTGACAAGCACAGCAGCTTGTTAGCACTGTCAGCAAGTGCAGCAGCTCTGCCCTCCACTTAGTGCCCAGTCACAACTCCAAATGAATCAGACTCTGAATGAATAAATAGCAAATATTTACATCATTAGTACTATTAATGCTCCTGTTTTCTGCTCTCAGTGGAGAACAGCTGACCACCTGTCTCACTGTCACTGAAGGTCTCCAAAAACATTCTGGTTTTTATCCTCCTGCCTTTGCTCCTGACAAACTCTTCTCCTGCACCTCCCCTAGGTAAAATATACCCACATAAAGATGCTGAGCTCCTTTATAGGATCACAGGAGACACCCAGACAAGTATTCCCCAATACCTACATATGCCATAAGCCATCTGGTCACTGTATCTCTCCAGGTCGAGGCGAATGCTCTGGTGGAAGAACTCCAGCTTTGCTTTCAGCTGCTGGGATGCTGACACCATGTTGTTCTTCATTTTGATCAGGTTTGCATTATACCGAAGGAGGCTGAGCCTAACAGATGGAACAAGGATAGCACACATTAGCTGGAAAGCCCACCTGGACTTAAAAAAGAGGAAATTCTGTTACTCTAAGGGTGACTGAGCACTGGCACAAGCTGCCCAGAGAGGTCATGGAGTCTCCACCCTTGGAGATATTTGAGAGCTGTCTGGATGTGGTTCTTTTTGAGCAAGGATTGGGCTGGAGGACTTCCAGAAGTCTCCATCAACCTCAGCCATGCTGTGGGACTCTGAATATTCAAGTATATTTTGGTTATTATCAATGTCAGGCATTACCCAGTACAATTCCTGGAGTGGAATAAGCTCCCATTCCAAATACATTTTATAATGTGAAGGCACAGAACAGCAGAGGGCTGTAAAACTTTGGGGAACCAAAACTCCCTGAGATGCATGATTCCAGGCAAACAGACCCCGTGCTGGCATAGCACTGATCCCTCTGAACGAGAGACAACTCACATGGCAGCTCTCTGTCCCTGGAAAAGCCTGCTGTAATCCTCCTTCAGCCCAATGACGTAGTGAACCGCTTCTGCCCACACCTTGCGCAGCTGAGGGATTGGCAGCTGGATTTTGCTGTCCTGGACTGAACACAGGAGAAACACAGTGCAGTGACAACTCTGGAAAAGGACAACATTGCTAATTCCTGCTTCAGGTGCCTAGGAAGCCAGGTAAGTTCTACTCAATTTCTAGGTGATGCTGCTGAAGCGTGCATGAGCTTCTTATGTCACAGCTCCCCAGGTATGTGACAACCTGTGACTGAGCAGGTAAAACCTCATGGGGGGGTTTTGACCAACAAAACAATAAAGCCCAAGGTAGCAAATTTAGTTGCTCCACTTAATCCATTGATACTGGTCACTGTCCTGATCTGTTTCATCTGAAAATGTCTTCAAACCTTTTGTAGGTTTCCCCTCAGATTTCCTGATGTGGATGTTTAAGAGGAAAAGATGTGTTCTCACAGAGACAGAAACTGGCAGTACACTGGGGTATCAATAAACATGGTGCAAAAAGCCAAGAGATTCAGCACAATGGTGCCATGCAATGAGATTCACCAGAATAAAACAACCCAGAACACAGAAAAACCTGAGTGACACTAGAAGATGAGGAAAACCAGTGGAGACAGGCCAAAGAAAATTAAGTTACTGAACATGCTGTAACTGCATGTCACAAGCTATTTTCTTTACAAGCAGTATCCCAGCAGACATCTCCTGTCCCCTGACACTACTTTTCTTTCCTAGAGGTACACAGTTAGTCACACAGATAGAGATTTATGATAAATAAACCTTCAGAGAGGTCTATTAGGTCGTGCAATGACCGCTGTCATCTCTGGAGACAAGCAGGGCAAGCAGAGAAGCAGCTAAACACAGCCTAAAAGCACAAACTGTTGATGCCAGGGCTATGTCATCAGGACAAGGTGTTAGGCTGCTTCAGGTTCTTAAATGGTTCTCTTTGAATCAGACAGAACCCTTCAAGACAACACACAGGGGTTTATAAAGCAAATTTTATTTCATTTTGCAAGAGAACAGCACTTCTCCAGCACACTCACCAATGTAGTTGACGCAGTCAGACAGACTCCGAGAAGCAAAGGGGCCATCGTAGACAGTTTTGCTTTTATCAAACAAATAGACCATGTAGCTGTCCCAGCCTCTCTGGGAAGAAAAGAGAATATAAGCAAGAGAAACCCCAAGCAACTCCTACTAACCCAGTACATAATGAACTACTTATTGTGGGCACTCCCTCTTACCAAGAGCCTTAAAAAACTTACTTTGATAGATCCCACAGGAAGACAGAACCCTTTGCCAGCAATTAATTAAATATTTAGGCATAATTAATATTTAATATTAAGTATTTATTCTGCACAACTACAAAACCTGCTTACATTACCCAATTAAAGATCTTTAGAGTTACTACATTTACAGAGCAAACTGTCTCCTGTGGGAGAAGATTTAAGCAATTTATCTTCCCTAAGATTTTAAATTCTCTGAGAACACAAAAGATACGACCAGAATCCTTCTTACCACGCCATCAATAACACACTGGGAAGCAGGTTTCCGAGGGTCCAGGCAAATCCCTGTTTCCAACAGCAGCTCCTGATTTCCAGTGCTTATTCCAGTTTCAAGCTCAATGCGATTCTGAAGGGAATGAAGGCTTTCCTCAGGATGCAAAAGGAAAGACACAATCTTGGCAGAGGTCATGTTTAGGATGTGTACTATCTGTAAAAAGAGGACAATAGATTACAAATCCTTGGATATCAAAGACAAAGGCACACAAGCCTGGGACGGAGCACAGAGCAGAATGAGAGCATCATTTGGTTTTACTAACCAAAATAATCAATTCAGGAGTAAAGCCCCACATAAAAAACACAAAGCCTGGGCCTGTAACTTTTAATGTCAGAGAAAACCACAATCCAACACACTAACACCCTTCACAAGCCCTGCTGCAGTTTATCACATCAAAATTATCCTCCTAATTCTAAACAGGCTTGCCTTGTCTAGTCTGACTCCAGCAAAGCTCAAGTAATTATCTGAAGAGGAAAAATCAGGTGAATATCACCTCTGTTCTCCTACAGGCATTACTACTATAGTACATGAATACACCTGGAGGGAACAGCATCCCAGGGAAGTCTGGGAAAACTTATTAGCAAATAATAAACCTTTATTTGATCCTGGCAAGCCCTTTCCAGGATAACAAACAGTAACACAGGGTTATCCTTCTACTCCAAATGTAAAGCTAGAGATTAATATTGCAGGAGATGTTTTCATCTCCAATATGTACCGGACTGGCTGTATATGCACTCACTTCCTGATACCAAGAAAAAACAATTTCTCCTGACCCTGGAAGCTGGATGATGTCAGGATTACAGCTTTACTCTGCTGAACACACTCTCTGTCCTCTGGGATGCTTTCAGAAGGCCTTTAAAGCCTGTAACAGCCCCCACTCACCTTCAGATTCAGTATGTGATCCATTATTAGGAAACACCTGGGACGACTGGTCTCAGGATCTGAACCTCCACCCCTCTGCTGTGGATCCCAATTCAGCATCAGCTGCAACCAGTTCTCCATGGGTTCTACAATCAAACTAAAGCAGAAAGGCTGTAAGGAAGGGGAGGGCTTCACCAGGCTGAAGCAGCCCAGCTTCCTGGGCCTCTCCTTGTGTGCTCTATTCAACAGGCTCTATGTGGGCAACTGGCACCATAGAGGCCAAAAAAAGAGCCACTGGCTACAGGCTATCCCTTAACAGCAAACAGCAGCTTGCTAGCAGCTTGAAACACTCTGTAGAAAGAAGGAGGAGCTCTCAATGCTTGGGATAAAGGAGGAAGAGCCCTCAGTTTAGCAGACCAGAGCTGTCCCCTGGAATGAGGACACACATACCTGCAGAGGCTGTGAGGCTGCGGCAGGTGGGTGCTGAAGCGAACCTCCCCGTTCATCTCCTCAGAGGCAAAGATGTGCTTTGGGTCCTTCTTCTTGATTTTTTCATGCCTGGAAAATAAAATCCTTTGTGTATATACTGAGGAGTGTTACTTTTGTAAGGGAGCAACCAAAGACAGCAAGGAAGTGCCAGTGTTCATCAGCTTTAGAAAACAAACTCATCTTTCAGGACAAAGATGCCATTTTCAATCCACCCAGAACATTCCCATGTGGAAGACAGGAGCCCTTCCAATTAACCCTGCCTCTGGAAAGGTTTACCTCTTCTCTTGTTCTAACAGAAACCCAAGTTTCCTATTTTTTTCTGTTTCAGAACCACCTTTTAAAAAACCATACACTCCAGGCACAGCAAGACAAGCAGAAACCTCCATATGCAGCTTGAAGTCTTTCTGCACAGTTTTAAATATTAGCACTTCCAAGCACCTCTTCCAGGAAAAGTGTCTTACCAGGCAAATGGCTGTAGATTATGTAAGAAAGGTCTAAATCCTGCGATGCATTCAAACACCATTGTCCCAAAGCTCCAGTAATCAACAGTAACCGAGTAGGATTTGTTCTCAAAGAGTTCTGGAGCCTGAAAACCATCACAAAAAGACACTCTGACTTTTCTACAGAGACAAAGCTGTGTCCAGGTGTGGCTCCCTGAGAGGGGACACCCATGGGATAGGTCCCCAGGATCTCCATTTTTGGGTGTTTTAGCCCTTGCCAGTGCCAAGCCAAAGCTGCCCTGCCCCAGTGCTGGTGACACTAAAAAAAGTCTTACCAGATATTGCAATGTTCCAACAAATGAAGTGCATAAACTTCCTTGATCCAGATCCTTTGCATATCCCAGGTCTATTATTTTGTGAACAATCTGTAAACAGTTTAAACAGTTCATCAGAAGAGCAAATGCTGAGAGAAAAAAACACCAAACAACCCAAAATCTGCTCAGTGACAGCCACAGAATACTCTCAAGAGGAAAGCCAGAGCGGAAATTCTGGAGAAAATCCATTACAAAGCTTTGGCAACAGTGTTAAAAGCTTTTAATAAATGTACAGTTGAGTTTTCAGTCCAGTTCAATGTGACAACTTCCAGAAATGACAGTGGAAACACACTGACCACCTGACTTACCTTCCCACCTTCATCCTGAAGAACAATATTTTCAGGCTTTAAATCTCTGTGTATAATTCTGTTCTCATGCAAATACTGGATACCAGAGCCTGAAAGACATGTGCTTGATTTAAGAGAAAATAAAATTCACATTGATTAAACATACATCTGATAAAAACCTAATGCTGGGGGGCAAGTTCCCAGCCTTCCACTATTTACCACCACTCACTTCTACATTTAACAGCTTCCAAACCTGTGTTTCTTCTCCACTGCGTTTTCACATCTTTGCAAAGACATGCCAAAGACACCCAACTTATTATGAAAAATAAACAAAAAAACATTCTGGAAGGGGAACAGGGATAAAGCAAGCAGAGTTGCTCTTTATTTTAGGAATTCAGCTGAAAGCCCTCAAGAGCACTGAAAGGCCAGAAGTCCAGGCCAGTATTCTAAAATACTTTCTCATGCCAAAACTAGAAAAAACACTGCCAAAACACTACAAGAAGTGTCAGGTTATCTGTAAGTTAATTAAGAATACAAGGAGCTTTCCTAGAAGATCTTTTTCCTAGAGAAAAATTTCCACTGCCCTTTATCAGACAGCACACCCCTCCCACAGTGCCCAAAAAAAACAGGTACTTTCCAATGGGTCTGATTTTTTTTTAATACCCTGTTCACTTTAGTTCCCTTTTCGTGGTCAGCTGAAAAAGGAAAATACCACTACACTTAAGAAAAAAAGCAAACAAAGGAAAGCATTAACTACATACCAATGTCACTAAGCAGAGAAAGGATCTGACTTTCCTTCAGCCCACAGCAGTTTTCTGGTTTGTTCAGCAGCTACCAAAAAAAAGCAAAGGATGTTCAGATCAACACTTGCAACAGTTAACAGCAAAAACCAACATTTTCCATCCCCTGTTGAAACTATCCAGCACAGTTCAAGGATCATTCCAGCTGAATGGGACAGTTGACTTTGTACAGTAAAATCATGGCAAGAAAACAACTCAAGCAAACCAAAAATTCAGCAAGCAAAGGGGTAGGAGATAAAGGCAGGACCACAGGTCTGCAGGCAGGGGAGGCTCCCCCTCAACATTGCCTTAATGAGCTGTGAACAAAAGCAGCTTCAGCAATTTCTGACTTTTACTGCAAACAAGACTTTATGAGATGACTGAGGTGCTTCAGCCCTCACAATGGATTCACAAGGAGAAATTAATAATGAAATGAAACTCAAATGATGCCAAACAAAAGAAAGATTTTAAAAATACAATCAGAAATAAAAAATATTATGTTTTTTTCTTTCCTTTAAGGAACAAAGCAGTACAGAACATCAGATGGAATGAAGCATGTTAAAGCATCCTAAATTGTTTCAGCATCTATGCCACCACACCTAAAGATTCATCAGAAACAAAGTGACCAAACACTGCACTGCAAGTAGAGCTAATTTCTCAGCCAGAGTCTCTGATCTACCTTCAGGGAGCCTCCAAACTTCTACTGCAATAATCCAACAGCCAGATAGCTCTGAGAACACAGCCAGCTGCCTGTGTCTGCAACTCCCAGGTGCTTTTTCATATATGCCCCTTCTTTTACTGGGACTTAAAACCTGAAAGTGTCTCTTGGACTGTTTTTAACAACTCAAAACCATATAATGAGATGGAGTTACTGCATTCACCCGCTGCTCACATTCCCCAGGGCTGTTTAACACCAGTAACAAAAACTACAGAAAGTGAGTTTCCTGATCCCATAGATGAGGTGATTTCTAAGCAAATCCTGACAGGGATTTGCTGTTTCACCCCTACAGAAGTTGCTGCTTCCTGAATCCAGGTGTAATGGAAAGGGAGCATGAACTGTACCAGGTTATGAAGCCACTGCCTGGGGAACTACTGAAAGGCTCCTTTATTTTTGGGTGTTGCCAGTGTGCAGACTGGCAGTTCCCAGGAATAGCGAAGGTTTAGAATCCCTGGAGGCCCCAGTCGAGGCTCATTCCCTGTGCTGAGAGCAACACTGGATACATGTGAATCCAAACGAGTCACACTGAGCAGACAGAGACACAGCAGCTGCACTAATGCTAAAGCAGCTTTATGAAAGGACACACTCTGCCAGGATGAAAGAGTATCTGCCCTTGGGTTGCCCTCTGGTTTCAAAAACACAAGCCTCATTTCCCACACGTGGCTTTTTCCCACTCTGCATTTACTTCCTCACACCTGTACCCAAAGAGAAGCAGCACGGAGCAGACCTGGTTACAGGAGCAGCACTAGCACAGCTCGTTTGGGTTATGTGTTTTATTGAGAGCAAAGCAGGCGTTACCTTGCGGAGGTCGCCCCCCGAGCAATACTCCATGGCCAGGAGAGGGACGTCGTTAACCAGGAAATTCATCTCCTCAGGAACCTCACAGGCTCTGACCACGTTGGGATGGTTCAGCCTAAGCACATGGAGAGCTGGATGAAAACTCTGACTCCTCTCTTGGGAGAATGAGACAACAGATTGCCAGGCAATCACGTTTTATGGTCCAGAGACAGCTTCTGTTCCCCACAGGAATCCTTGCTCGCTCGTCAGGTGGTACCTACCAGTTCCCAAATGTATAAAAATCCATACCTTGGGAATACACAAACCACTGATGAACAGAAATGATGTCTCAAAGCCAAGGTACAGGACTTTGATGATGAGGATCCAGACTCAAGTTCTGAATGCTTGCAAAGTCCTGGCAAAGTCATTACGTGCATGTGTGTGTGTGCTGCTGTATGCAGGAACAGACTCCCCCTGGCCCAAGCGTTCCACAAGAATCCCTTAACCCCTGTGTAACTGCACCAGGCAGGTGAAAGCCACATTCAGAGGAAAAAAATTACCCCTGCAGCTGAATTCAAACAGCTGCTTCCTGACTGTCTCTAATACACACTGCTCTTGGGAATAAATGACATATCCAGAAGGAAAAGAAGGCAAATTATTTCTCTCTACACCTTCCAAAGCCTCTGGACGCCAATGCAAGAGCAGCTTGTGACTCAGTGGTTGTTTTCAGCAACCAAATCAGACATCACCAAGCCTTTACTTACAAATTCATGTTCCCTGCAAATGGTTTCCCCCCATGTCATAGCACACCGTGAGCAGGGTAACAAAGTGACAGCAGCTCAGAAAAATCCTGAACAGGGTCACTGCAGGCCTTAGGGAGGACAACTCAAAGCACCCCTGCTCCCACCAGTGGGACAGAGGATTCTCTGCTCCAGGATCACTCTCTCTCTCTCTCTCACAGTTCTGTGAGACCCAAACACCCTGAGGCAGCCCCTACATTCACGAGACCAAAGCTGTCCAGGCCTGTTTCACCTGCTAGAGAAGGAGGGTGGGCAGCACAGAGTATGGACTTTCTCACAAGGAAACGTAAGGAGAATTTATTCTTTGGATTCGGCAGCGTAACAGAAAAAAAGCGATTTCAGGATCCCCCGGTTGCTAAATCAAAAACAAAGGTACCGCAGGGTATGGGAACATGTGGGTGTTCCCAAGTCACAACATCAAAACTCAACCCACAGGGTGGTGTGAGTTTGGAGGAATTTCGGATGAGTGAACAGCCCAGACAGCACAGCAAGGCAGGGGGCTTTGAAGTTACCAACTCCCGAGCCAAGGCATGAGCTGGGACATGGGGATGAGAGATAAACCAGCACAGGCATGCCAGGTGACAAGAGATCCAGGGGCTGACCCCCGGCGGTTCCCACTCTCAAGCTGGTCCAGCAGCCGAGGCACCAGCGGTCCCCACAACATCTCCCAGCCGGTCCAGGGGCTGACTCCCCGCACTTCCCTCTCCCGGCCAGTCCAGGGGCTGAGCCCGGCTGTCCCCTCTCCCCGTCTGTCCGGTGCCGGGCCGGGCCGAGCCGTGCCCGCACTCACTTCTTCATGATGTCGATCTCATGACACCAGCGGTCCTTGTTCTTGACGCTGAGCTCCAGCCGGCACGATTTGATGGCCACGCGGTCGCCCGAGTCCTGCGGGACACAGCGCCGTCAGCCGCCCCGGCCCGGCCGTGCCCTCCCCGCCGCCCGGCCCGGCCCCACCTGGTGCTGGTACAGGCACACGTTGCCG